ATTTTAACACTTTACCGACCGGCCGTCGATTAATCGACGTTTTGTTCTCAGCGCTTACCGACCGGTCGTCGATTAATCGACGTTTTGTTCTCATCGTATACCGACCGGCCGTAGATTATTCAGCGTTTGCTCCCCAGCGCTTACCGACCGGTCGTCGATTAATCGACTTTTGACCGATCTGTGGTGACTACGTTTTCCACCAATTCAGCATGCCCTGAAAAAAATTCAGCTGTCGTTTTCTCGAGTGCAGCTGGGTGCGACCAGATTTTCCTGCGAAAAGAGTCGGGATTTTTCATCGTGCAGCTGGGTGCGACTAGATTTTCCTGCGAGGAAAGTCGGGATTTTTTCATCGATATGAAGGCAGGGATGCCAACTGCTCCGCTTTCTGGAAAAGTTCTAATAAAGTGGTAGCAAAATATTTTGTAAGATTAGTTAAAGAAAGATAGTTACGCCTACTTTTTAATACAGTAACCAGTATATTGATGATTTAACGTTGCATTTTATATCATATTTGTAATTTTTGATATTTAGTGGTGAAGTCCGCGCGTCAGTCTAGGCCGAAACCGAGCCGGTGTCTCGGACGATCTGCAGCTGAACGGGCGGTGAAAGGGCATAGTATGTTCGAACCGCTACCGGTCGGTAAAGTGTTAATATATGAGCTTAATTTTTTTTAAAGAATAGAGAGAATGTCAAAAAGATTATAAATTAAGTTTATAAATGCAACGAATATGTAGAAAACATAAATTTTACTACTACTTTAAATATAAAAATAAAATTTTAAGCCAAATGCGTAAAAGTTGGCAGGTATGGCTGATCCTTTATACGCAATAAAACTGTACAATTGCATTTTATATTAAACCTTCAGTGCTGTTCGTAATCTGTTAAGCAACTGCATTATTTAACTTTAATCTCACTAATAGGTATCGGGTGGTGTATGATATTCCGAGAGAGCAAAGATCACTTATACTGGAGAGGCTACAACCGGGTACAGAGTATCAATTGCACATAGTGGCATTCGATCTCTCCGAAAATCCTACCAACATCAGTGGCAAGGTACACTTCGTATCCCCTGATGTTACACGTAAGTTTTAGCTTGGGATCAAAAACTCCGTATTATTTAATTGAATTAAAATGGATCCGTAGTATTTATTTTATATTGTTTGAATTTTATTATTCAATACTATGTTTGTACATTAATAAATGATCAAATAAATAAATACAACGGATATATTTTAATTAAAAAATTAAACGTAAGCAATTATTTTTATAAAAAGTTTACTCAAAACCTTTGTGATAATGAAACATTTTTTTTGCTACCACTTTTTTTTAAGTGTACTTTAACCCGAATGCATAATGCATTGATAACTACTATTTGTTATAAATGTCACAGGGATGCCAACTTGCTCCGTGTTGTAAAATAGTATTTTCTAGTGATATAGCGAAGTATAAGTTAAATTTAGTTTAGTATTTTTCATTTTAAGCAATTTTTTCACCACTAAATATCAAAAATTAAAAGTATCATATAAAACGCAACGTGTTAAAGCATTAATCTACTGGTTACTAAATTAAAAGAAAAACGTAACTATCCTTCTCTAATGAATTTTAAGATATAATTCGCTACCACTTTATTAAACTATTCCAGAAAGCGGAGCAGTTGGCATCCCTGATGACAAAGAATTTAGTATGAAAGTTAGTTAAGGTAAATAATCAACTGAAAAAATTTTCAATCATCCTTAATCCTTTGATTCAGAATGTTTATTAAACATACTGTTTGGCATTTTTTATTAATTTAGTGGAAAATATATTTAAAATTTTAATAATTTCTGCTTATGAATCACCGGTATCCTTTTCTGCATTAGAGATAAAAATCTTTCACACACGGCTCACTTCAAAGCAATAATTTTCAAAATCTGCAGTTATTTAGATAATAAAAAAAAATCGTGATTCATCATTAAAATTTCTATAATTTACAAAACCATTTATTGATAAATTTTTGAATAGAAATGTAAAAAAAATTATAACTACTTTTTTTGCATTTTATATTTTAGTAACATTAAGTATATTTTTTTGCTTGTAATTCGATGGTGCAAAACATATATAAAAGGGACACCGGTATTCCATCTGTGTCAAAGAGTTAATCAAAAACTTACTACCAGTTTTGAATTTGGCTGGTTTTCTTCAAGCAGAATTCTATAATATATTAAGCCTAAGAGTGGCACTTTGGAGCTACTTCAAAGCATGTTTTACTGACTGAAAAAAAAGGTTAAAACTTAGACAGTGAGAACGTAAATTTGATAAAGTGAATCTTTTTTTCCAATTTTCAAAATTTAAGAAAAACTGCTCAGTTTTGAAGCTATTTTTAAGCAATTATTGTATGTGTTGAATGAATTTTATGTAATTAGTAACAGTTAAAAATTTGAATTCCATTATGCATATCACAGTTTGTTCCTCATGATTATTATTTCTAACTTCCGAGCTCTGTATGAACTAAGGTGAGTCAAATCGAAGATGCTGGCAAGTCGCTAGAGACACCTGTAAATAAATAGTTATAGATTACAGTTTTATACAATATATCGGTTCTATCATTACCGCAAAATGTGACCTCACTGATTACAGTAAAAAAAAATGGCACTTGAAAGTATGAAATCGGTATAATAATTAGAACACTTGTATGTTATTTTTTAATAACAATATATGGACTGTTATATATTTACAGAAAATGATAACTGGAATCAAAAAGCACACATGGAAGCTAAATCTTCTACTCCATTCACATTTCGAGAAGAAGAAGTGGTCATCATAGTGCTTGTACTAGCAGTCTGGGTATTCGTCATAGTACTTTTCTTCAACAAGTGGGGAAAAATCCGCATGCTGGAACCCTATCAACCACAGTACCACTCGCATCCGGTTATAGCTAAACCCACTCGATTGCCACTCAATGATGCTTTGGCTCCTCTTGAACGATTCAACATGGAATTTGGCACAGCATCTACTCCGTACTACATCAACAGGATGCGATCCAGGCAAAATTCGGTGTTTGTTGGCAGTCCTTATAGAAGTAGAAGCGGCTCCATGCTTTCAGAACCTCGAATGCCACGAAAAGTAAAAAGTGCTGAGGACATTAAATCATTAGTAATTCAGGTTGGTGATAGGAATTTTCAGCAGCCTACGGCCCTTTGAATAAAGTTCTAGAGCACTTTTTGCCACCATAACATATGCCAACAAACACAAGAAGAAAAAAACATGTTAATTTGATGGTACAAACCGGTTCCAACGGATTCTATCACAAGTGCAAATTGTTGATAGTATTGCGCAAACATCGTTGCTCCACATTTGTGGTGGTAAATGTACTTGTGTGTTTTTTAATGAATCCGGAACCTGTTATAATCAGCAAAAAAAGGAAGGAAAAGTAGCAAAATGAGGTATCTAAGGAGGTATCAGTGCAAAAAGGAGGCAGTTTCGGTATCCTTTTCTGCACCAAGCACTTCAAAATGAATTTATCAACACATTTTATAACAATTTTCACTGCATTGTAACTGTAAACGGATTGTTTAAATTTCAGAGTCAATTTTCATCTATAAAGTTTTAAATGAATATAATTGTTAGAAGTTTTCCAGAAGGTTATTGATATTTACTATCTTATATAATACTGTATATGAGAGCAATGAACAATGTTATTTACCACTGATCTGGAGAAATTCAAAGTAAAGTTCAAGTTATTTGACATAGAGGTTTTTGACTTTACGCCCAGGTTCTAGTTTTAACCATTTCGAAATGGTTAAAGCTTGAGTCTGTAGTTTTCGACTTTTGATAGACTCTAGTCTTGCTTACCTTGTGAAACTACACATTGTTATAGGATAACGGTCCAAATAATGTATTTTCCATTTATTACACAGCAATGTTTAAGTAGTTTCGTATAAATATATCATGTACATATACTTAAGTGAAAAATTGTTTTATTGGAAGTGGACACTATATATACATATATATTCACTATATTTTATATTCTTAATCAAGTATTGTTCTTTGATTAAATTTAAACACAAAACTTTACATTCAGAAGATATTAATTTCTTAAAAGTATAAAAAAGAAGCAATTTTTACACCATGTTCCAAAAAATGCATTATGCCTGCTAAAAGTGAAATGCCTTCCACTTATTAAGAAAAAAAACTTTTTTAACATTTTAATCCAGATAGGCTACTATTTTTAAACAAATTTTGCAATCTATACCTTGAGTTGGGATAATTAATAATATTCCAAGTCAAAGATTCAGTGCCATTAAAGCTAAAGAGACTTAAAAGTGATGAAATTTTGTCAAACCAGTTTTTGAAATTTTAACCATAAAACAACATCGGAAGATCGAGATCTGAATAAGAAAAATACTCGGTGGCGTAGATCAAATTCGAAATATCAGCAAATAAATTTAAAATAAGGAGAGAAAAAAACATATAAGTATATTTAAAAACTTCACGATTTTGGTCTTCATTAGGCTGCTTTAAGAGCCTTTTGTTTAACTATATCACACACAACCATCACGTAGTAGAATTTGGTGTAGTAAATTACAGAAATCCACCGACCCATAATAACTCATTTTGACTTGATACGGCGGCACAGCTGCCAACTTGTTTGCTGGAAAAGTTTTTACAAAAAGGTTGTAAAATAAAAATTAGAATAGGAAGATTTTTTAAAAATATTAGCAAGCTACTCAACTCCAAAGAGCATATTTGCGTAACTAATAGATACATCTTTGAATTTGTTAATCTATCATGTGGATAAAATATTTTTTGTGAAATTTCAAAAATCAAGACATCAATCAGATTTAAGATCAGTTGTCTCCATTCAATGTAATTGCAGTTATTGTTTTCAATCGCTAAATGTAATCAAAGTTACTCGGTTTTGATTTTCCTTATTCATTTGTATATTAAAATGATCGTTTTCTTCGCTTATTACATTATTTAATGTTATCAGTGATTTTATCTACTTTTTGATACAAGCTACATAAAAATACGTTATAAAAGAAGTTTTTTTTTAGCTAATCGTGTATGTTGGAAGCAGTTCGCCTTTATAAGTGCTTCTGTGCTTAACCCAGGATTACTATAAAAGGATAAAAGTCAAGCTCTTGAAAATAAATTCTACTACAGTGAAACCACTCGGGAGCTACCACTTTCCACTCTACAGTGAAATAGTCGTTGATATAGGTAGATCGTTCTTACAGATTACCTGCGGTGTCTTCAAAATTGCTATTGGAGGTTCATGATTTTTCGCTAACGAATTTATTTTTAGTCAGTGTTATTTTCTTAGTATAGAAATGCCACTTCTGTTGGCGTCATGAAAAGATAGATTTGTGAATTAAAATTTAGCGTCTCTAAATTGATCCCTTTTGATATAATTATGTGCAAAAACAAATTTACCAATTATGAACGGTAAAGCTATTTTAAAGAAATAAACAATTTTGTCTTTTTGTTTAAGTTTGCATTTAATTTTATATCAGTTAGCTTTAAAAGATGAGCAGAGGCTCGTTTGAGATGCTTGTTTATTTCTAAAAGAACTTTTTTAATTTAACATTCAACTCCAAAAGTAAATCACCGTTTTTAGTGCACTATGACAAAGAACTCTCTAAAGAAGAGCCTCACACAAATATTTAGAATACATTTTGACCTACTTATTTGTTTTGTTAAATAGTTTGTTTTGAATTTTTTCGTGTTTCCTTATTTGACCTTTTTTGCATTTGGTGCAGATGTTTGACCTATCGCTGGGAGAGGTTTTAATGTTTTCTCTTAAAGATTTTCTTCAATACAAAATTAATGGAATAAAATTCCGTGTGTGGTCCTAAATAGAGGTGGTCTTTTCTCGAGGTTTCACTGCATCAAATTGTTTTTGGTGTTTACGGGATTAAAATGGTGACTATGGATATTATAAATTTTTGAAATAAGATGCGAAAAGTCATCAATTTCGGAAGTATGGCAGCTAAGAATTTTTGTGTAGGAGATAGAAAATTTATACTTTGCTATTAAAAATAATTACATAATTTGCCATTACTATAAATTGACATAAAAGTATTGGGTCTTAAACTAAAGTTAATAGTTATTTTTCCTCTCTCTATCCGACATCGCAAAGAGTAATTTTTAATGCTAGCGTCCTTGAATAAACAATTTTTAAAGAGAAATTGTTGGAGGAATTCTTTTTTTTTCAATTTGCGATAAGCTTAACAGTGAGAAAGATTAAAGTTCAGTCTATCTTAATCGATTCTGCCACTTTGGAAGATAGATGGTTTTATTATTGATGGTTACAGATTGCTCAGCAAAAGAGTTATTTCGATATTATTCAGGTTTTAATTTTCGATCTGTTGACATTTTTCTTCTTCTTCATGTTAGCACTTTTTTTAACCATTTAAAAATTAATTAAAATATTTTGCAGTGTTTATTTTTTAACATTTTATACCTTTTTGAAACTAAATATATAAAATGTACTCAATAAATCTAGGTTTTTTATAATACTAGTTAAAAAAATTTGAGGACAGCAATTTTTCTGCAAATGAAAATCGCTGAAGGCTTTTTTAATGTAATGTATATTTAAATGTTTTTCTAAAGATTTATGTACTTCAGTATTAAATACTATAATAAATTAGATAAAGACTATTATAAATAAATTTAAAAATTGTGAGCTTCACTTTTTTAGTGTGCTACATTCTTGCCACATTTGTTCAATTTTTAAGTATTTTAAATTTGTAAAGCAAAACTACATGCATTTTAAACCATTTACTAAATACTATTTATTCAGTATAACTTGCTTCTTATACAAAAATAAATTAAATTTAGGAAACATCAAAAGATTGTGCAATTATGTAATTGTAAGATAATTGATTCTGCATCGTTGATTTCATATAGCAACCACTTAATATTGATGTATTTGGATACCTCAATTCCATATGTTTTTAATAAATTGAACACATATAAAAGTATTTTATCGTTATCGGAAATATATTTCTATACAACATTTGAAGTTGATGTAAAAAAAAAAACATTTTTCCAGTGGTAGTAAACTACAACAGAAATTTTTAAGACAAATTGATTTTTTACTTTTTTGTCAGAGCTTAAAAATATGAACTTCTGTTTATCTAATCTTTCCTGTATGTATTTAAACTATTTATATGTAGTGGTGTTTTTTTTATTTAATAAAATATTAATACACTACTATTGCTACCACTAGGGAAAATACTTTCTGAGATAAGAAATACTTTCTTCTCAAAATACCATTTTTTCGTTCATGTGAAAGGTTTGGGGTAAATATCGATATGCCTTATAAATATTATTTTTCTCGGGTATATAGTAAACAAATTAAATATGATATTTGGAACTGTTGAAACTGAAATGTAGTTGGAATTGCAGTTTCTCAAAAAATGATTGTTTGAGCATTAAAAATATATTTGTATTGTTTGTCAATAAAAAAAAGTATTGGCATGCTATAAGTATATATTATTTAAAAATTTGATGAAACATGAATTTTCGAAAATTCCGAAATTTCGAAATCAATAGTAACTATTTAAGTAAAAAATTCATAAAATGGTTACAATTTAGCATAAACCATCAAATGGTGAAGATTTGATTTAAATAGGTTAACAATTACTTTCGGTCGAATTTTTTCAAACAGCATTGATTCAAATAACTAAAGTTAAATGTAAATAAAAATATTCAAGAGTCAGTTTCATTAAACATTAATTAATCATGGTTTTTTCATTAAACTAAAAGTAGAGCTTTTGAACACAATACTATTAAACATGGACTAATAATAAAAATAGCTACTTATCTTTGGAGTCTCCTTAGATTAATCAATTAGTTGAACTCTTTTGGATAATCCCTTTTTCAGATGTGTATATTTAAAAATAAAAAACCTCCAAACAAAGTTTAAGAAAAGTAAAGTTTATTGATTAGAAAACATTCTTAAGAAAACAGAATTCAATGAAATGTTTACAAGTGTTAAAGAAATAAAAATGACTTTAAAAATAGTTACTGCTTAGTTACAAGAACTTTTATTATGATGTCTGATAAAAAAAAGCTGTAAAAATTCTTTAATAGAATACTTTGCTAAATTTCAGTTTCGGGTTTGAGATTTTGTTTTAAATCTGTATTATGAGACAACATTTGCTAGCTAAACAGTTGAAGAAACCTGAACTTAATTTTAAACATTATTTTTGTTTATTCTTGAATAAAGTTTGAAACGGTCTGGAAAAAAATTAAAAAGTGGTGTCTAATGTTAACGTGTTAATATTTCCCTGTTAAAGAGTTTTAATTTCACACATTAAACTTTCATTTCGAAACTTAGTCCTCCAGGTATATTTTACTTAATTTTCATATTATTTTTAGTAGTTACAATATCGTAAAATCAGGTTTGCTACGAGCTAAGAAAGATGGTTGCTAAGTTTCTGCAGAGTTATTAAATAATTTAGCTTCCTTTTACGCATTGTTAAATATTACCAAGATTTTTATACAGTATTCTATGTTTCTTTAAATTGAATTATGTTTTTGGTCTACACGTAGAATTTCAAACATCTATATCTTGCTCAATTTATTTAAATAAAAAAAAACAGCTAACTCGAAGTAACCATTTAAAATTGTTTCGAGTCTTCTAAATTTGTCTACCGCTTCTATTTTTTTTCTTCAAAAAGTGGCAATCCTGTTTAAAAACGGGATTGCTACTTTCTTAAAATATACTGTATTGCATATTGTATTGCTATATTAACTGCTGTATTGAATTAACATACAATACAGAATTTAGATATCAAAGAAATTTCTATTACTGATTGTAACAAATGCATAATTTTTGTCAAATTTTACAAGTTTACCTTGGGAAATTATCTTTGTAAGATGTATAATTATTATACATTAAAATGTTGTGCATATCATGTAGAACTATTTTGACTTTATATTTTTCTTACAAAACACTGTGAGAA